ATATTCTAATTTTGTGAAATACTGGATTTGGGTTTTTTTTTTGTCTTTAATCCATAATCATCAAAATTGAAACAAATAAAGGCTTGAAATATTTCACTTTGTGTGCAGTGAACTAATATAACATACAAGTTTCACTTTTTGAAACAAATTATTGAAATAAATGGACTTTCCCTCGATATTCTAGTTTTTTGGCACATACCTGTACACTGGACATATAAATATGCACAGTCTTTACAGAGCTGCCTTTTAAAGCTGTGCTGTTTGTTGACATCTTGGGGAGAGTGAAATAAGCTGTAAACACAACATTTATATACTGACAAACTGGCTCATTAACACATGTAGCAGACACACAGCGACATCACCATTCTCTGAAGTCGTTTTTCCAAAACTCATATTTCCAGTAGTCACCCTTTTTAAGCTCTGTGTCAGTCTCTACCAACTCTCCTTACACCACCAGCTGTTTGGAGAAGTGGAGTTTCATTCATTTGGACCATTAGCACCTTTAGCTGTGGAGCCTGACATCTGAATTCAGCTGCACACGGGAAATGCTTTAGTGATAAAGTGAGTCTTAAGTGAGTCTCTGTTTTTGCATCACCTTAAATGCATTATTTGTACTGAAAACATTCAGCATAAAAAATCAACTTGTCTGGGCTCAACCCTTTACACACAATGATCAATATTTAATATGAGTCACATAGGTTTGTTATTGCAACCGGGCATGTTTGCTTGTAAAGTAGGACCCTGAGAGCAGAACAACCCACTCTGTATGTTTCCAGAAAAGTGGCAAGGCCAGGGAAATTATAATGAAGGTCTTTTTATGATATATAAAAGCTAAAACATACTGTATCTGCACCTCAGATGTACACTGACCTTTATCTAGAACATTTTGGTAATGCTTTATTTTACAGGTCTGTCATTTCCTAATAATTTCTTGAAAGATTCTTCAGAATAGAGACAAAATTCTAAAGTTTCTAAGATAGTCCTGAGTTGTGTTGAGTTTATTATCAGGATAATCATCTTCATTGGCCAAGTACAGTATGTTAGACACAAGGAATTTGTTTCTGGTACAGAAACGAGGCAGCCATCTGTGGTGCCAACTCACACCGATGGCTCTAACCATCTGGGACGAATTGGGGGTTCAGTGTCTTGCCCAAAGACACTTCGACATGTGGACTGCAGGCAGATTCTAACCTCCGACCAGGAGACGACTGCTCTACCCACTGAACCACAGTTTATGCTGAGAATGGCTATTGGCTTCTGGATGAATTTCAGTCGAAGAAATTACTCACTGTAAACCCCAGTTAGTATTTACTGTTTATTTTTTAATTATTTAAAATGGTATTCTTCATTTATGCTGAATTTGATGGTTGTTTGTAGATACATTTATATTTTTCATGTGTTCACTGTCTGCCCTCTGAGAAAAGCCTCAGGTTTGTACTAGCTTAGCATTTAGAAACGAGCACTCAGGGCGCATGTACCTCCACCAAGGCACAACAATCAAATGGGACCCGTGTGAAAAATGAGATCCAGAACAGCACAAAACGTGCCCAAAATCCTTGATCTGGATCATCCTTTAGGGTATGATTTCCATCTTAAAAGTTAAAGTACAAAAAAGAAGAAGCTGACAGTATCAGAGGTGACATATTTTTATGTTTATCTGTGTTTGCCTTGGACCATCTGCACTGTAACTTCCTACTTCTGAATAATATAAAGTGTGTGTCAGTACAGCACAGACATTCATTTACATACTGAGACAAATATCATCACAAAGGCAGCACTCTGGTCCTTTGTCAGTGTACAAACCTGCACCAGTGATGATCGAAAGCAGGTGAGCGACATCACATGCTTGACATATGCATAAAACAGGTGGATGGACATGTTACACAATCATGTTACACAACCATGGCAAAGCACAGCTAGTGGAGCTTTAAACCCCTTTGTGTGTCACCTCCTATGTGCTTCTGTTACTGTAAGTGAATCTCCTGGAACATTTTTATTGACATTTCGTCTGGCAGTAAAACTGAGGAACAGGTTACAGGTTAATGTGGGACACTGTGCTGCTGTATGATGGTTCCCACTCATTGGCTGAGCAAAAGGCGTGTTAGCTGCAACTGAGAGGAGGGGCAACATGGTGAACAGGTCATTGACTCCCACCGTGTTATCAGACAAAAGGAACAAGAGATAAGAAGAAGCCGGAAACCCAAACAGAGAGGCGGATGACTCAGACGACTGTCAGTTTTCCTCTTGTGCGTCAGTGCCAAACAACAACAACTCAGTTTTACAAGTTGTATACTATTTTGAAGGTGTGTCCGATCGGCTGCAGCATCCACATGAGTCATTTTGAGCAGAGGAGGAGGAGGAGGGGGCTCGGGGTCTATAATAACCTAGGCGGCTGCGCTTTTTCTCCAAACACGAGCAAGATTAACTGGAGACTGTAAAAGGAGTCCAGCTCAGAAAAATATATTTTAAAGCTTTCTTGTTTATAATAATTTATATTTCATAACAGCTGGACTTTGATTCAACGCCTTCCATCCTCGGAGCTGGGTTTTCACTCTTAAAAAGTGCAGCCACGCGTTCTTTCTTTACCTCAAGACACTTTTTAAATCATCAGCGATGTTTCCAGAGGCAGGCACAGGGTGAGTACACTTTTAAACACAATGTACCTTCAGCTTTCCTATCCCCATGTGGTAAAAAGCTAACATTGTTACAGTTTGGCAGAGTAAGAAGGTGTGTCTTAGAAAAAGCACAACAGATAAAATGTCAGTACAACAGTGACTTGTCTGACATGAGATAACACTGACCTCTGCAGTGATTCCTGCTTGATTTGCTGGCAGTGGTTATTCTGACCTCCAGCCTTCTTTTCATGTCATCCAGTTACAGCTATGAGGACTGCATGGCCACAGCCGATTGGTTGATGGCCCAGACAGACATCCGACCCACAGTGGGCATCGTGTGCGGGTCAGGGCTCGGAGGGTTGGCTGACACGTTAAAGGATCAAGTTGCCTTCAACTACAAGGATATCCCCAACTTTCCACAGAGCACCGGTAAGATAAACTCTCAGCTGCTGACTGGTTATCATATACTGTTAATATTTACTGACTGGGTGTATTGTTTTCTGCAGTGCACGGTCATGCAGGTCGGCTTGTGTTTGGCACACTGAAGGGGAGGCCGTGTGTTTGCATGCAGGGCCGCTTCCACCTGTATGAAGGCTACCCAGTCCAGAAGGTGGGTGCTGCTACAAGCTTCACTGTGCATTTGGACTGATTGGATGTGAAAGTCATTAAGGAGTCGTTTGCCATATGTCTTTAAAAAAGCTTAATGTGGTCAAAAGATCCTTTAAAGCAACAAAAGTGTCCTCTGAACAGCTGTATCATGTCTGTGTGTGTGTTTCCAGGTTGCACTGCCTATGCGCATCTTTAAGCTGCTTGGTGTGGAGACGGTGATACTGACCAACGCAGCCGGGGCCCTCAATGAGGACTTTAAAGTGGGGGACATTATGATCATCAAAGACCACATTAACATGCCTGGTTTTGCTGGCAACAATCCACTGGTTGGACCCAACGAAGAGAGGTAGGTGTGTGTGTGTCTGGATTTGTGTTAAAAAGTCTGTGTGCATTTAAAATTTCTGCACAGTCGAAGACATTTCTGCACTGCGGTAGTTAGCAGTTGCAAAAAGAAAAATACTCATCACTTCAGTCAGTTAAACAAATGGAACTTGTATTTCTAATTCATTTGTAGACATTCAGCTAAATCAGCCTTTGCTCTGACTCAGCTTTCCACCTGTTTGTCCTCTTCCCCCAGGTTCGGTGTGCGTTTCCCCTGCATGTCTGATGCATACGACAGAGAGCTGCAGCAGCTGGCCATGGACGTGGGACAGGATCTCGGCTACGGAGAGTTCCTGAGGGAGGGTGTGTACTGTGTGGTGGCGGGCCCCTCGTTCGAGACCATTGCTGAGAGTCGCATGCTGCACAGGCTGGGTGCTGATGCTGTCGGTGAGATGTTTCTTTATGGACCTTGTGCTGATCACTAACCACAAACTGTTTAGTTTATTGCTAATACATTTGGGCAGCAGTGGTGCATGAAAAATGTACCTCCAAAGCTGCATTAAGTGAGGTTTTTATACAAAAATATACCCGTTATTTGCCCATATTTCATACATGTGTGAGCTGTGGAGACTCCTTCACCCACAGAAAGAAAAATCAAAGCTATAAACCTTAAACTGAAGGTAGTGAGGCTTACATGCACTGTTTTCCTTACTAGGGATGAGCACAGCCTTTGAGGTGATTGTCGCACGTCACTGCGGCATGCGTGTCTTCGCTTTCTCACTGATCACCAACCAGGTGGTGATGGACTACGACAGCGAAGAGAAGGCCAATCACGAAGAGGTCCTTGAGGCCGGCAAGCAGCGAGAGCAGCAGGTGGAGCAGCTGATTTGCACTATGGTGACCAGAATCGAGCACAACAACAACTACGCCTAAGACACGGCGTACTGGTTATCTAACGGGGACAGATCACGTTCAATGATGTTGTGCCAAAGAACATCCTGCTCAGTTTATTATTTAGGTGAGAAGTCAGTCTGCTTATACTCTTAGCAGTGTAGGTATCAGAGCATAGACAATATACACAGTCTTTGGTTTCATGACACTAAACATTCTTCTGCTGAGCAGCCACCACTATTTTGTATCATTTTGAACCAGGCATATTTGTTTTAACGTATGATCAGCTTGTATAAATGTCTAATTTACTTTAATGAGTCATAATTTGCTGTAAATTATATCATCTTGTTGAAATGTGTACATTAGCACTGTACTGTGATGGTTTTTTATATGATTATCATTATTAAAGGTGCTATTTATTACTGTATCGTTTGTGTTGTTCTGAGGTAATTTTCACAGATTTACCTCTCACATCCAAAGTTACCGCTATTCTCAGCCTTGATTTATAGACTCAATACTATTATAAATTGAGAAATAATTCAGACACACATGGGACTCTCCCCATGCTTATTTTCAAAGTGTGTATTGAAGTTTTACAGAGAAAGCTATACAGTACACCAAAGTAATGCATGATGGTCCGAAGGCGCCCAGAGTGTTCCCACCGTAAACATCAGGTAATAAACATAAAGCCGCAAAAACTGGAGACAAGAATGCTAGCATCAGTGAAGTAGTATTTAAATCCAAGGGTTTGGCAGTCTTTTTTTTGATGAACTAAAAAGTATTGTTTCAAAATGTCATCATTTGAAAAACTCAAAAACAAGTTGGCAGAAAAAACGTGATGGTGTTTTAAACACATGCAGGTCAAATCTCTGCTTGATAACAAAATGTTGACACCCTTCCTACTTTAATGACTTTAAGTTTTCCCCCTTCATGTCACATTATGTTGTAGTACAACTCCTCAAATAAAACACTTGTTTTATAATTCAGGCAGGCAGACAACACCTCACATTTCACACAACATATCCATCCATCTTATGTAATTATTCATCTTCACCTAATTCTGACTTGTTTCATTTGAAAGATTAAATAAACCTAACACCTCCCACACATAACCTCCAGCAATGATATGAGGTTGTTTTTTTTTTTATATATTTCACATAACAGTTTGTAAAAAATGCCATTCATAATGATAAGCAGGCATGTCTTAAAGCTAAAGTCAACACATTCCCAATGATACAGCCCAACACAACTGTGTCTGTACCGCGGGGCCCAGTGATTCTTAATGACTGGACCCTTGATGCTGAGCTGAAAGCAAAGTTTGGCACAGACAGAAAGTTCCAGGCCAGCAGTGCTGCTACAAGGGCTGAGGTAAACATTTATACGCACTGAATGTTGTTGAAGAGCGAGCTGGCATGGATCTCCACATCAACCACATCTGGCACTGAGATTATAATAACTGGCAGCAGGCCCGATTTCAAACATCAACTCCCATTAAAAAAGGAGAAAGGATCATTCTACAGATTGGTTTTCCTCAGGGATCGTCGATTTAGGCCATAAAGGGGCACCCCTTACTATCCAGGTATACCGTACATTTTGCAAATCATGAATGAGTAATCATTGATTAAAAAGGAAAAACACTTGTGAAACAGTAACATGCCATTTTGAATTAATACCTTTTTTTGAATTGAATCTCATTTTATGTGTGTAATAATGTAGTGTTCATCAGTTAATTTGTCAAAGGGTTTGATTTCTAGGTTTGGTCCTGGAAAAACCTGCTAGCTAAACTAGATTAATTACGTTACTGTTTCCACCCACTCCCACTCAAATGTAATAAGATTATTTCTATGTGAGTAGCTAAACACTGTCGGCCTAACTTACAGTTAGCGTTTCTGCCAAGTTGACTGCCAGGCTGTAAATACTGTACATAGTTCTTTCTGTTGGCAAACACAGGATTGGCATGTTTCCAATACAGGCACCCAAAAGATACATTTTCATATCAGCATGGAAAAAAGAGAGAACAGGAGCAAAAAAGGCACTTCTGAAACAACAGATACTGGATCTGGAGCTACAATGGGGTGCAGTGCAACAGTCAGAGAGGAGTCCACCCGTCTCTAGCCAAACATGGTCAGGGTGATCCACTATAGGACAGAGAGAGCATGTGCATTAGGGAGTGCATATTATTGAAATGTATCTCTTTAGGGCAACTGAACTATGGAAGACAACACGACCTCTGCATATATGGAAAACCTTCGGTGACTGTGTGGCCATACCTGAAAGAAGTTGAGGGTTATCTCGCCGTCTCCATCTGTGTCCAAGGTCTTAAAGGTTTCTGCAGGGACAGAGAATCTCTTATTTTCTAGGTGTCACACAAGTTAGCTTCTATTCTAGTTTGAAATGTTGTCCTAATGCACAAAAGGAAGCTGCAGACATGTAGCATTATTTATTTTAATGATAATCACTTTTACTGGCCAAGTATGTTACACACACATGGAATTTGTCTCTGGTACAGAACCTGTGGCACCAACTCACACACACACTGGCCGTCAGGAACAACTTGGGGATCAGTGTCTTGCCCAAAAAAAAAATGTGTCCCGGGAAGAGCAGAAATCGACCCGCCAACCTTCCACTTGTGGGACGAGCGCTCTGCCTCCTGAGCCATAGCCACCCCCGTTACAAATGTTGCAAATTAAATTTTTCAGTAGTGAAGCGTGGTAAACGTTTCACACTGGCCTTTTGGTCTTTTTGTCACAAACCATGTTGCACAAATCTCAGTGATGCTGTGACAAAAATGGGATGAAAAGTACGTGAACTATTCCTTTAAGACACTGAAGATGTGCAGTAAGGTGGGACTCACTGAACAAGGTTTCCAGTCTAATCAGGCAGTTGACAAAGTTGTCGAAGTCAACAGTCATGTCTTCCTCTGTGTAGCGCAAGATGATCAGCTGGAACAGGTGGTTGGTCAGCTTGAAACCTGAAGAAGGAACATCAGGTCACATGAGAACCAAAGGTCTCACAAGATAGTGATTAAAAAAAAAAAAAAAAAAAAAAAAGCTGTACACTTTTTAAATTTGTGAAGAAAATGCTTCTGACTTTTGGTTTTCTTTTGCTTTGTCTTGTATTTAAGAAACACTACCTGCATTTTCCAGAGCCATCCTCATTTCATAGCTGTTCATGGTGCCCGATTTGTCCACATCAAATTGCCTGAATAAGGTCTGGCATGGTGACACAGACAGACAGTGAAAGAAACATTAAGAACCAAGAGAAACCGTGGCAGACAAGAAGAAGAAAACCTAGTCCACTGGCCAGAAGACTAAAAAAAACAACTGGCCTGACGTCCTTATTTGATCAGTGTTTAATCTCACCAGGTAGCGTTTAATCTTTTCCCAGAGTACATGGAACTCTGTCAGGCCCAGCTTTCCAGTGCCGTCTGACTGGGCAGACATGTTAAGGAACATCTGTGACTTTCATGGCTCCAGAAGTTAAATACTACTAAGGACAAAATGAAGCCTCGAGTTGCTGTGGCTACTTTATTGCATTTCTCAAGGATACATCCATAAGGTTCACCATACTGCGGCAAGCTTCTTGTGAGAAGCCGTCTGTCTTCAGGTCTTTATCTGTTAGTGGAAGAAAGAGAGAAAGACATGAAAACTTGTATTTCTACCAAAATATATGCAGACTGTTAAAACAGGTGCAAAAGCAGCCCTCTACTCTGAGCTAAACATCACTGCACAGATGAGATGCTGTAACTAACGTTTGCTAATGATCCTGTTCAAAATGGTTTGCAGCTCTGTCACACTGATCTCCATGTCCTGTTGGCACAAACAGAGAAAGTCAAATCAATTAAACATGACCATCTATGTACAACTAACGGTTTGTCCATGCTACTGCTGGACTTCCTGCAAGTGTGACAGAGTCCTTACCGATCCCGCAAGCTGTCTGAAGAGACCCTTGAAGCCTGCGTCGATCTGGCTCTCATCTAGCGGAACCTGAAACAGAAACATGTTCATTACATGTATGTTTCTTCCACGGATCATTAACGGTCATGCGTTGTAAGATCACTGTCTCACCTCTGGTGGAAGCTGCGCATTAATCTTGTCATCAAGCTCCCTGATGCAGAAAGAAGAAAAATTTTACTTTCCACAACAATTTCTTAATATTCATTAAATGTCTTTATAATTTTATAGGCCTTTTGTACTGTATTAAAGTATTTTCCAACAGGTGGGATTTATTTATTTTTCCAGTTTTAACTGTGCTGTTTTCTTATGGAATGTGGCTTGTTCCACGCACTCAGAGTCGGCAGGTTTCTCAGAGAAAACTCTGATGACAAAGTCGGCGTCTTTATTCGGCTCAAAGGTGGAGGGCACGACGACGTATTCTCCGGCTGGTAGTCGCAACCGTGAGCTGACTTCTCTCAGGTTGATGAAGGTCTCAGAGCGGGCGCGAGAAGCGTTGGTGAGGAAAAACTGCTGCTTCAGGTGGACCCCCGACTGGCCCACGCACTGAGGGGGCAGTAGGAAGAGTTAATCTTGAAATCTTTACAAAGATCTGACAGTACTGACGAGAGCAGCTCTACCTTTGATGATCTCAGATTAGTTAAATGTTGTAAATATCTGCATTCTTGAATTAGTGAAACACATACCTCACTTGGAACCTGTAAACAACACAGAGAGATGAGATTTCTTCCATCAGTGACGTGATAAGGAGCATAAAAAGACAAAAAAGAAGACTATTTGTCAGTTTTAAGAAATAAGGAATTCTGATGCTAACCTCGTAGACAGCAAATCCAATGGTCTCCATGTCAATGCCTTCTTTACGTTTCTTCCTGCGGTCCTTCTGCATGAGGGCGACCAAAAAGCTGCAGTCTGGTTTGTCGGGAGAATCCGGGTTCCGCAGGGTAATCTTGAATTGAGGGTTCAGCCAAAAAGTAGCTAAAGACAAGAGGTGAAAAAGTCAGATTGTTCCTTTTTTCTAGCATTAACTTGGTACTTGGTAATCAGGATCATAAAAACCTTATTAGACATAGAGAAAATTATTATAAAAGATGAACACCACTGAAAATAGCTGCAGAGATTATGAACATTTATTGTTTATGCAACAGTTTTAAGTTTTTATCAGTAGTATAGTCAATAAATCCACAAATTCTGAGGCCACAGAGGAAAGCAAAGTGTGTGTAAAAACAACTGAATTCAATTCCACACATCTCTATTTATAACATTTATTTTAAAGCTGGCCACTGTTTCATGGCTTGGTGTTAAAATGGGAGTCACTGGTTCATGTTTGCACTTTACATCTGGTGAATTGTAAGAGAAATGTTGGGGTTTAACTCAAAAATGTACTTCAGAAATGAAATTAGCCTGTGTTGTAGTAGAGATCCTCCACCCCTCTATGTGCTATCTTGCTGTTTCCCCTTCTTTCCTCCCTTCATCACTTCATACCTGGGAAATTCCTGCAGCCTCCAGCGGTGCTGCCTCTCCTCCATTCTCCCTGAAAGAGTGAAGTGCTCCATTTCTTCAGCTGGGTGCTCTCCAGGGCATCAGCTGTCAGGTTACAGATCTCCAGGCGGGTGAACTCGCGCAGGAAGTCATTGAACGACATCCTGACAGATGGAAGCAGGGGCGCTGTTACGACAGTGCGGATGCCACTTCCTAATCAGTGATGTCACAGAAGCTGCGAGAGAAGAAATGCTCAAGCAGACTCACCAGAATTCACCGTCCTCACTGCTGACTCGTAGCTGACTTCTGAGGGAGCCATCCACACTGTCCCACTCTCTGGAGCTGAGGATTACACAAAGAAAAATACAAATGAACGATTTTTACACAAGCATAGTGACACATTGAGACACCGAACCCGAGGAACATTTTGTTAATGATTGGGGTTTTTCACCTAATTATCTTTAAGACGGGTGTGCATTAAAACATAAGGCAACTTAAAAATGACAGTGTATAAGTGTGGTTTTTATACCGCATGGCTTGGCCAAAGCGATTCAGTAAGATAGGAGGTAAAATGACCATTAGAAATAAGGACAGAGTTTTAATCACGGTGAAAATGTCCCCATTTAAATGCTATCTGACTGAAACTGGTATGACTGTTAGAAATACACCACAGCTGCAGTGTGGTGAGTGTTACTGCAAACAAAGTCTTACTTGTCACTCCAGGCTCCCGTCCATTCCACTTCTCCCCAGGGGTTCCTGATGCGGACCAGCTTGATCATTCCCCCTCTGTACGGCACCTAAGGGTGAAGAAGTCATGTGTATCTACCGTGAGTTAGTCTGAAATGAATTCTAGTAGTAAACTGTACAAAATTAAAAATGCATGTTTACGCTGGTCAGTTTTCATTAACACATCTGACAATGGAGCTTTAATGAAGAGAATGCTGAAAACAGTGAGCTCTGTTGCTCAACATGTACAGCATGACACACGTTGCAAAGCTTAGGCTTTCAACCAATCTTTTTTTTATGCAGTATTTCTACATAACAGCTATTAACATCAAAAAGTTTGTACATAACAGCTATTAACATCAAAAAGTGCACTTCTACAGTATTAGCTCCCGAGCTGATCATGTATTCTTTGCTTTTCCAAAGTGTCTGATGCCTTACAAACCAGCAGAACATAATGTTAACACCTTGTGATAGAGCTCTTATTCAGTGTTGTGCTATAATCATCTACAGGGCCTTTTGCCTTGCTACATAATCTGTTTATGGCTCATTTTGTTGACTTTGGAATCAGCTAGTTAATTTTTAGATGATCTTCGGCACATAAAACAGAGCTAAAGGGCAACCACTCAACCAAACATATCCCATGAATTAACTAACTTATGTAACACGTGGCTTGGGTCAACTCAAAGTCCTGGACATTTAAGGACCAAAACAGGCAAACAGAATAGTCAGCTTTGGTTTTTGCTTTTGATACATTTTACAGCGCTCTTGACCCCATAAGTATCAGTTTGGTATGGACAGTAAATGTGTGTTTGAAGGGTAAAAATAATGTAAGGCCAGTGCATCATGTATCTGGTCTTGGGGTTATTACAGTCATACATTTCATGCCTCTGTCCTTTAGTCCTGCTTACCTCATTTGCACCAGTCACAGAGTAAGCGTGTCCCTTCACCAGCTTCTTGAATGTAACAGCCTCCCTGTCTCCTGTGCTGGTGATCTGATGATGAGACAGCAAATCAGAGGTCATTATCTTCTACACCACAGTTCACAGAATCAGAATCATGGTGAAAAAGATGGCAGGGAAAAGCATGTGCACACTGCAGCTCCACATGTGACAGGGCCCATGACAGTTACAGGCAGTGGACACCGTCCTAACGCTGCTCATTCACCAGTTCACTTTACACAGTGAGAAATGAGTGTTGCTGGTTGTTAACTTATGCAAAGACAAACATGATGTTCTGTCTTTGCTGCCCCCTCCTGGTGTCCTCACAGTTCAGCGGTTTCTACCATCATAACACACATTCACTCAAATCACTCAATCAGATCATCATGTGCTGAGCTCTACTAGAAAAAACACACTAAGGATATTTGGCACATATGGCGTCAGGGATGCCGATCTCCAGCAGATCCTGACCTCTGACCTCCTCTTACCAGGGTCAGGTGAACATTACAAATCACCACAAACCACTGAGGTGTCTTAGAAGTGCTTATTAAGTCTTAACATTTAATTTAGTGATAAGAAACAAAGAAAGCAATCTTCACATTGTGACAGTAAATTCATTTTACAACTTCAAAATTCGGCTAATGAATTATTTGATCAACTATTCATTCACTCTGAACTGGATTAATATTTTAAGCGTGAGACGTGCAAAGGAGTTAATTGTTTTTGAGGAGCGCTGAGACTGAAAAAGCTGACCTCAGCTACACCGGATAGTCTATTTTGAAAATAGAAGCCAGTTGGAGGTAATGGAAACTAAGATGATGAATTGTTTTCATTATGTTTACAAGAGGGAATTAGAATCCTTCCAACCTTTGGAAACAAATGGCTCCTATCACTTCAAGTGTGGCTATTTTCCCTAGTGATCAATTCTAAGGAACATGTTCAAGAGTTAGATTGATACTCACATATTGGTAGATGAGTTATAGATAATGCAAGCCAATGCTGGCAGTTAGCTTAGCTTTGCACTATGACCGCAAAAAAGGAGGAAATGGCTAGGTCTCGCTGGCTGGTTCTATTCAAAATAACAAAAACCAACTACTGGCATATTATAAACCTCTGTGAAACCACATTGTGGGTTAATTCACTTTTTAATTGCTTTACAGTAGCTTTGTGCTAAGTGAAGTCAACTGGCTTCATATTTATAATCATGAGTTTTTTCATTTTACTCCTAATAAGAAAGTGAATAAACATACTGCATTTTTACAAAATGCTAAATATTCTTTACAAAAATAAAAATGAACCCTGCAGTAAATGGTTTGGTCACTTGAGGGCAGCAGAAACACACTTTGAACACAACACTGATATGAGACAAACTTGTTAGCAAACATATTTATACAAATCCAGCATCCTCATTCATCTTGACTCATGCTTCTGTCCACCGGATGAATGCTGATGTTTTTGGCCTCTACCAGTTACAGATAAAATATGTGGAGCTTTAGCTGCTAAATGCTAACAGCTGCCTGCTGCAACAAAGAGCAATGCTATGGGAGCATTGCTATCATTTTACATGTTATTATAAAAAATATTGATTATAGTCCCTTAAAAAGAAGGAACAATCTGCATTATGTGTTAATTTCCCATTTGCTTGGGACAAAGGAATGTATGAATGCTGCAGTACTGACATCTATGGAGCAGCCCAGCATTGATCCTCTTGCTATGGCCCTCTTCATGATACTGAAGAGGTCTGGAGGGGGCTTCCCCAGCTCGAAATTCTCTGTCACACCCCCTGTAAAGTCCTCAAAGCCCTCTGACGTGCTGCCGCCTGACAGAGCCTCATATGAGCCATTCAACCTAGGACACGAACAAAAATTAATGAGCATTTAAACGTGTTCAATGAGTAAACTTGGGCGCCCATGACTAATTTTATACAGGAAATCGAGTTTAAATAATCAGCATCACTGGTGGAGGTGGAGAAAACCATGTACCTTGCATGTAAAATACAGTCAAAACACTGTTGTTGGAAAAAGTCATGTCTGGAAAGCCCACTTGGCACACACTTGTGCGAACAACACTGTGCTTCACCGTTACAGCTCCACCCATTCACAAGTGAGACCACAGCTGTTCACTGGAGCAGCTGGAGTCCACTTTTGTTACATGCATCTTTAAGAGATTCAAGTTTGGAAATGTGAAACACAAACCCTTCAATCTGGTATTTAGGAATCACACCATCACTAAAAGTCTTCAATAAGCCTGAACAGATGACTGAGACTCTCCCACTTGTACACAGACTGTAAGTGTCAGAGATTAAGATCCTGAAGGCTGATCAGTGTGTCTATTAGTCTTACTTGGCGTAGGCCTTTTCCATCAGTGCGCTCCAGAACTCGGTTCCCTCTGCTGAGTGCACAAACAGCAGCTTCCCATCCTTCACCGGCAGCCGGTCATCGATCACCACGTCCACCCACTCACCAAACTGCCAGAACTGCAAGACAGACAGAGGCATATTACAACCGAGCTAACAAACAAGGTACCTGCAATATGTGAAGAAGGTTAAAGGACAGAGACACTATCAGCAGAAAGGGAAGTGGTCACTCATCCCAGAATTGAAGCCAGGAGATATACTGTATTTTAGTTTAGTCTGAAATGTCATATTACAAAAAAGGATTCACTTGTATTACTATATACAGTATGTAGAACAGATTTCAATCAGAGACAGCAGAGGACAAAATACTCAAGTCCTTTGTTTAGTTATTTAAATGAAACCATGTGAGAAGTTTCTTTACTGGAACTGTTAGCTCATACAGTACACATCTGAAATATGACAAGGGGCCCCAGACACAAACTGCTGCTCTGGTGCTGTCTATAGTGTTTCCTATAGTTTTAATAATCGGATTACAGAGCACATGAAAATGCTTTGTCACCACACAAAAAACACAAATATGACACTGAAAAAGACAAGTTAGCCTGCTTTTGTGTTTCAACACCAAAAATGATCTCCAGATGTACAATATATGTGACAGTAAGAGTAATAAGGCTTCTGCCCTAGAGCGGTTTCATTTGTTTCCAAATGAGATGGCTGAGATTGCACAGTTTATCATCTATTCTTCCTCCTTAGATTGTTCACATGCACGCCTTCCCTCCTTTTTTTTCCTGCTTCTGAAACCTATTAAACTTCCCAATGGCAGCTCTCATAATTACATTTTTGGATGACTCATCCAGGACTGAGTAAGTTCTCCAGAGGCTTAAAAGATTGAAACAAGACAAAGGGCGAATCTGTGGAAGACTCGACAGCACAAAACAGCAAACAAACAAGGAAACATGCACAGAAAGACGAGAAAAAAAAGAGAAATGGCAAATAACAGAAACACGCAAACATAAAATATGTAAGTGCAATACAAACTCACAAAAGAGGATGGTGAAACTAATTTAACTCTTTAATCAATGCAAAACAGCGGCCATAACTATTTATGAGGCTTTTAGATCGAACACATGCATCTACAAGCTTTTACAGCAAATGAAGTTATTAATAAAGTTATTTTCATTCATTTTAACAGCATGTGTGCATTCGGCAATCAGTTTACTTGCCGTCATCTGAGACAAGGTTTTCTGCTATTGAAGAAAATGTTTAAAGCTACAGTATGTAACTTTTTTCCAAATATTTTTGTTTGTTTGTTGTAGAAATCTGCTCCAAAACTTGTCTTAATGTGGAGAGGTGCTGTCGAAGCCTCCTGGGACACTGACTCATTGGGCAGCAGTGCAGAAATATTAGCTTCTTAAAGGTTTTGAGTGGGACTGACCTCTCTAACAACCAGAGATTTTCAATTATTTCTGCTTAATCACTAAGTTTTGTAGCATTCTCATGTCTTGAAATTTCATAAAGACAAACATCTGAGGAGCTATTGACAAGGCAAAAGATGGTGGATAAACCGAACTGGATGAATTATAAATGACTGAACAGGCTTTATCACCATTGTTAGCATGCTAACATTTAGCATGTAAGTGGGCTATGTTAGCATTTGTCTTAATTAATGAGGCTGACAGGAGTTTGTTCATTAGTTTTAGCATCATGCCACGTATGGAAGTGATGGACAAGTGGAAATATTTTCCTGTTGGCTGTATTAAAATAATCTCACTCTTCATTTTGGTAGTAAAATACACCACATTCAAATTCAAATTCTTATCATTATATACCACTGCTACATTTCCCTATCTCATACTGGAATGAAAATGTGTGCTGGAATTATGATCAGGCCTGTGTCACTGCTTTAGTATGCAGCCTCAAATTTTGCCTGCAGTTGTGTGTGTGTGTTGGTTTTGTGCACAAAGCAAAGTTCAGCTGATAAGGCCCTGCAGTCTGCCAGAAACTCACACCACAGACTTAGAAATTTGGGCAGGAGTGGTGATATTGATCTATGTTAGAAGTACTAGTTCGGTGTTTGATTGTTAGGAGGAGTTCTGTCTCGACAGATGTGACTGGCAGATTATACGTTTCTAGGCTTAAATATTGGATGAAGAAATGGGTGTTGCTCACTTCAAGAGAGTGCAGTTAAACCTGTTTCACAGTGACTCAAATCCTCAGGTGAAGTGTACTGACTGATAGTGTGTGGATCTGACAGGTGAGGTTTCTTAGAAAGGTCAGTGGGGTTAAACAAGTGAGATGAGATCATTCTTTCTAGGAAACTCTGAGAAAAGAAAGAATAAAGTAAGCTCTTCACTAACCGGCTCAGTTTATTAAGTACTTCACATTAGGGCTCCAACTACTGATTATTTTCATTAACAAATAACCTATCAATCACTTTTGATCAATCTGTTAAAAGATGCCTTCCTGCAACTGCTTATTTTGTCAAAACAACAGACGACAACCCAAATGGATTCAGTTAAGAAGAACAAGAGAATAAAAAGAGCAGGACGTCCACACAGGAGAATGCGAAACCTCGAAACATAAGAAATTTGTATTTGTAAAATTACTTCAAATGATTAATCAATGAGTAAAATTAATGTCAATGACCTTTGTCTGCTTTATAATTTATTAATCAATTATCATTTCAATACTATTTCAGTTAATCTGACAGCTGCTCAGTGACATGAGATCAAAAAGTAATTTCTGCTTTGCTTTAGTTTCCTTGTAATGGATCAGTGTGAAGTTAAACATACTACATAAATATCTCTTGTAGAATCAGTGGTGCAACTAACAACATATGACACAAAGGGGAAGAGTTGAGAGCTGGGCAAAATAAATAACACCCAGTTTCTTTTCTCTGCGGCACTAAATGTCTATAAACATCTATTCAGTAGCAGCTCACCCAGGGATCCTCTTACTTTCGAGTCTTATCAGCAACAACAGAGAAAGCAGCAGTAAACTGCACTCAGAATGACAGTACAGTTAATCTGCCACAGTCAGTCACGGTTGCCAAGTGAGGGATGAGTCGGCTGCAACAGAATATGTAACTGTAAATGCAGGAAGAGAAGCCGTCGTCACCTGGAAGTGAAAGATGCCAGCGTATCCCTGCTGGAAGCTCTGACCGTGAGGAACCACTCTGTGGAGGAGGGTTTCGTTTAAGGTCAGCGAGGCGATGGCTGCCAGCAGCCAGCAGTCCCCTGTGAAAGCACACACACACACACACACACATATCTCTGTCACCGTGGATGTGCCCTGAACGCCAGCTATTTCAACTCAGGCCTGACTGCATGTTAACAAGGAGGTCAATCAGGTCGTTTCTTAAAACAGGTGTTGGATGCTAATTTCAAACTAAAATCTACAGGCAATTTCTTTCCCTTCATTTCTGCAACTCAAAAATTCATGTAGTTGAAATAAAACTTGAATGCACTTGGAGGCTCAGCGGGAAGACACTCGTTACAGGCTCGGTAAAGGGACAAGACTGTTTAGACAAGCTTTGCTTTCTGAGAAATGGGAGAGGCACCCCACTGTAGCTGAGAAAATATCACAGCTCCACAGTAAGTCATAAATGTCGCTGCTAGGACTCACCCTGCAGCTTTAAGCCAGTAGCTGCTTCTGTTATGTGTGTATCGTATTGCAAAAGGTTCTCGGTTAGAGGTCAGAACACCCTGACTGACTACATGTTCACCACGCATTGTTTGTGATCCCAGAAAATCCAGGCAAAAACAAAAATGATGGCTTTGTTGTGTTACCTGTCTATGGAGGCTCAGTTCCAGAGGTGTAGCAGTCCTGCTTTTTTTTATGGGAGTAGTGTTAGTTATTAAAGCTTCCTGCTTCCTTCTAGCTAGTACTACACCTACTAATGTAGCTCTGATAGCAACCACTCAGTCATGGTGCATTTTGTCTGTAAAACAAGGTGATGCGTGATGTTTCATCATTTCTGGAGTCACCGTTTTGCAGTATACAGCTGCTCCTCTGGCAGTGAGGGGAAACAGGGGTAAAGCACTTTGCGTGGAGATAGGGGAGGATGCTTTCTACACTGCCAATGCTACTCAACCAGACGGAGGGTGACTTTGTTTACGGATGTGAAGCAGAAAGACCAAGCAGGCAACATCTCAGGCAGTAAACTGGTACTACTGGGCTGTTAACACTCTTCTCCCTCCATCTGTTACTCATATCATAGCTCTGTTGACTGTGATTGCTCATCTTGACTGAAGAGCTCAGTCTTATTTACAGCTGAGGACTGGACTGGTAGTTGCACAGGGCAGAGTAAATCCCAACACATTACCAATGCAAGCTGGTTAAAAATAGACATACAATTCAGTAAAAAAACCATTATAGCAGTGACCAAAGTTATAAAAAAGTATAAAATATTTAAAGGGTATTCCACCAATTTCACACATTAAGGTCAGTTTATGTGTCATGGGGAATACTACTCAGCCTGTAAAACCAGTTGTATGACTCCTAAAGCCTGAGAAAACGACAGGTATGACAGTGATATCAATCTTCTCCTGTCTAACCTGAGACACGGACAGCAAATAAGAGTATTTCCTACAATGTCAAACCATTTCCTTAATCAATATTAACTTATCTTCTCTAGTTGTAAGTTTTTAAGTCAGATATTTTCCTATGGGGTGAATAGATCATCCAATACAACATTTGAGAAACTGCTCATGTACAATTTTGAAAAGCAAATAGTCTAAACATAGTTTAAATGGCTGGTTGTTATTAACATGGGGGCCTCGACTGATTGCACCCAGGTGGTGGACAGACCGGATGGGCACTATTTTAATTTTGATACTCACCTTAGCTTCTTGAAATTATATACATTTGCATGGATTTGATTATGTACAAACTGTAATGAATCCATGGAAGTGCATTTTAAAAGATTTCAACTGTGATTCCACCAAGGGGCCGTGGACCACTGATTAAAATCCCCGTATTAACATGTCTCCATGTTGCCATAAATGAAATAAATGTGTTCAATTCCGCTTTGTAGTACGTCATTTTAATGAAATACTTAAATACATTTTTATCCCAGCTGTAGTTATGGGTTCAGAGATGTTCTCTGCGTCTCTAAAGGGGAAAGGAAAGCTTTACTTATTCATGTCTTACATCCAGGCTTCACCAGACGCTGAATTGCAACTGGCAACCTTCCAGTCCATCTCCTCCCTCCCTCGGCTACTGCCAGCATTGCTCACTTCATCTTTTCTAGCAGATTAAATCTCAGTTCCTGCTCTCCCCTCCATTCCTCTAACAACTGCATCATGCAATAGTAACAGTTGGGACGTCTCTGGACCGGACTTACCCAGAGCTCCCTGGCAGATGTCTGTGCGAGTAGCTCCGCCCACGATGAACTCGGGCGCCCTGCAGAACTCCTGAGGCGTGCACACACAAATAAACACACAAATCAGTGGTAGCACTAAGCCTTTGATTACACATTCACTAACATGTCTAGTCTTGCCTTTGATTACACATTCACTAACATGTTACATTTGCTGTTTTGTTTTCAGGATGATTGTATTAACGGGTTTGAACAAAATACTTGAACAGTGAGAGTAAGAATTCCATTTAAGGTTACTTACTGGCACAATAATACATTTACAGTTGGTCACTCTCTAATCCGTTATGTGACTTAAGAAAGAAATTCAATATCTTTAAAAAAATCTACATCCTTTTTATCACATGAGATAAACATTCCAAGAAGGCCATGGTGCATTCCAGTGTTCTGTGTCCACATCTTGTTTCCCCGGTATCTCCTGCTCCACAAACCATCTCCTACTGAACATGTTGAACGTCAGAAACCCCACATGAAGCCACAAATAGTAACATCCCATTTCTCCTTGTGCTCCACAAACACACACCACACAAACCGGCAGACACACGGTTGAATTCACAGATACACTAAGCAGCACACACAGACTTCCATTCTCACACAGAACAGAGCACAGATTTTTTTTTGGGGGGGGGGTGAACATCATGAACCCTCTAACACAGCATAAGGAATACAGACAATGCGGTTAAGACGGGATGCATGCATTATGAAACATCAGACATTTTGGAGAAACAAAACCCCAGGAAGCATTAGAGCTGACAGACACAAACTTGTTAACACTCATGCACACACTGGGATCTACACACTCAGGTGGGAGCTGTAAAAGGAGCTAAGAAGCTGCAGTAGCTTATGATCACAACCCTGAGACCTTTTACACTCACAGTTTGTCTTGCTGTTTTGTTACAGGACTGAGCAGCGGCCCGTCACGGCATGTGCAAATCCAACAGTAATGAGAGTGTGCTGTGTTCAGGGGCTGTCGCAATTACACCTAATGAAGACGGGCCCACTTTGTTCTCTGCTGGTGTCATATTCGGCTACAGGGAACACCCTGGTGTACTTATAGTGTAGGGAGCAGTGATGAGAGACAGAGACAGACAAGCCAAAAGGGACAGATGCTTGGGCATGTGAATGAAAGGATAAATCAAGATGAAGTGAAGGATGATATTCTCCCAGTACCTCTCTGGGATACTTACAAACTGGCTTAAGAAAATGACATCTACCAATCATTAAACAGATGAAATGAAGTCTGAGAAGAAAGGTTTCTTTGAGGGGTAAAAATATTTTGTCCGTTAATGAAAAGGCTTAAAGGAGCAGTTCACTGACAGTCAGTCATGATATTAGACTGCCCAGATTTTAACTAGGTGTAACTAATATACTGCCAACTGAGTTTGTAAGTCAGGGCCCTGATGTATTTTTGTGTGAATGTTATGTTATCCCATGACATTTTATTTGTTTTTTAATGTGAGGTGCTGGGTTCAACTGCTGGGAGGTGACTAATAGCATTACAATCACGAGCTATATTGCTGCCAAATGCAAGCAAAAAGAAAACAAAGCTACTGTGAAATAAATGACTTAATTGCACATTTTCTTGGACTAAAGGTTGGAGTTTGGTTTTCCAGCTGTACTTGAACACACCAAGGAGAAAGACGTCTAATCAAGCCAAGGTAGCCAAAGCTATGGGTTCCTTGCTAAAAATACAGCTCTGCCATGTCAGATCTCCATTTATGTGATTCTCTAAAATCAAAATTCATTCCTCAACACACAACTTCAGCAGTGCTGATCAGATCTATTACTGTCCTCTGCTCTCCCGCCATTTCTCACCGTGGGTCTCATCCAGCGGACTCCGGCGGTCTTGGAGGATCTCGGTCCAAGCTCGTTGAATCCCAGAGACGTTGCAGCGGCCGGGAAGAGGCTATCCTCAAACAGCCTCCCGCTCTGGAGGCACTGGGCTCTCAGAGACTCGTAGTCCTGACCCAGAAACTTCACCGCGTTGTTATTCTGTCCCAGACCCTCATCACGATCCCACTGGCTTCTCAGCTTGTGGGCCATGCCAGTAGCATAAATGACTTCCTCCACCATCTTGAGATAACTGTCACTCTCTGTTGACTTTTATGTGTACAACTACAATGGGATGCTGGATAGAGTCAGTAATCAATGAGGTAACTGTGACCTATTGCAACAGCTTTTATATAAAGTACTGCGGCAGCTTCTTATGTAGATCCGATATGAGGTGATGATGGTATCAAGGTTCAATCATATATCAGAATGAAACATCAGTAGCTATTAAGGAAACTTTAAATATTAACGAGACAAGGCTGCTGCTTGGTTGTGGCACTTGTGGTTCAGCTGTAGCGGGATGTTTCAAATCCAATAACGATCACACGTGAAGGAGGTCTAGATGCAGAAGCTTTAAAAGCCTCTGGAGAAAGACGGCCTCACAGCAAAGACAGGTCTTCTCCCAGTTAACAGCAGTCAGTCCTTCCTCGTACCCGCAGCAGCTGAACCCTAAAGAAAGAAGAAAAAGGTGAGTCCTTTCTAAAAGCGTATGCACAGGTGCAAGTCTGTACATAGCTCTATACCTGTGTATGCAACACAAACAAAAGAAGCAGCTATAAATACCCTCTACGCACACACACACACACACACACACACACACACACACACTCTAGGTTGGAGAGGCAAATGAACCCTCCCTACTTCTTTGTAGAAACACATGCCAGCTATGCATAGCAAAGGGACTGGTCACAATAGGCATATCAGTACTACTTCTACTGTGAAGTGCTGAACGTGTGCACAGTGGCAGTCAGAAACGTTAAAATGTGTGTTTAGTCAGACAGGTGTATTAACAAAGCTGTGTGACTGGCTCTGTGTGTGTTTCTTGTGAACTAGACAAACAGAGGGTGTGGTTTTCTTGGAATCTTGATGTACAGTGAATGCCAAAAAGCCCCCCCACCCCCCCGCTCTTTAAATGAAGGGAAGCCAGGCAGCAGGAAGTGTAAAGCACCAACAGTGTCTCCTAAAGGTCTTGACAGAAGTTAAGTTTAGATCTGTTTTTGAAGTGGTCTACTGGCATTGTTGCTTTTTTTTTTTCCTATCAAACACACACAACAAATGTAGACAAAGCGTTTTGTTCACCAGCTCTGTGGCTTTTTTGCTGCTCACTATAATCCAAGCGAAACACTTCCTGTTTCAAGACTCGACTGTCAATCACAACAGAAGCTGAAAAGAGTTTAGGTGTTAGTGGCTCAGAGAAGAGCAGGATTACAGTTCTCACTGCTCACAGTGAACCACACCCATTACGAATGGCCCAGTTCAGTGTTGGAAAAATGTTACTGCTAACAAACTATGATGCCACAAGTTTCCAGACTTGTTGTAGTATTGTTTTAGAAACTGTGTAAGATTCAATGCTTTTACTATGATTTCTACTATTGGTACTACTATTAAGGCTAGTTCTACAGCTAGTATCAGTACTACAAGTATTATACTGCTGCAAGGCTCCACAGTTACTAGCTAGTACTACAGTGCTCACTCCTACTACCACTACAATACAATTTCTATTATTCTACAATTTTTGAAAGTGTGATTCTTAAACCACTACTTTCTACCACTAACTGTATTACTACTACTTGGATGTTGAGCCTCCATGTCATGACTATTAGACTGCAGCCTAATACTTACCACTGTAATATATACTATATAAAATGAAAATTATGCCAAGACAGCCTTCATCTGAATGACAATGTATAAAGTAAAGCTAAATGGTAATTCAGTCTGATTATCAGGCTACTGCCAGTGTGCTATTATTCGAGGTCACAGACTCGAGTCTGACTCAACTCCTGATTTTGAGGACTTGTGAATCAACTTGTACTTGAGCGACGACTGCAGTCAGACTCCGAAGTTGGAGACGAGGACACTGACTTTTTTTGTTATAGGCCATAATAATTTGGCACAAGATATTGATATTAAAACAGTTTGCCAGCACCATGAAGCGTACACTGTTCATTTCTAAGTAATCCAGAACCTTATTGGCCACAACTGGTGCCACCCTGCCGGTGTCAAAATGTGATGCTTGTCAGTGTTTATTTTTTTTATTTCCCCTCACATACACTTACATCGCCTTTCCATCCACACACACACACACACACACATCTATACCCTGGAAATCCTCCCCCTCACTGCAGGAGCAGACTACATGTCCAGACAGACACATACTGTAGGGAGAAGCCTTCAGGCTTATTCACAGGCAGCTTAAGTCCAACAGCACAGGGCTGAATTACTACACAGTCGAATTGCAGTAGAAGCTTTTAATATATGGACATGTTTTCTTGCACCAAACCCACAACATAGTGTGTATATGTGTTGGTGGTGGTCACACGTGGGGCATGCAGTAACAACTCCAAAGGTATTTCTTCCATAAAAGACTATGTTGCAATTACAGGAATTCGGTTATTTATATTACAGTATTCTTAGCTTTTATTATGCAGTTTGAAAGAAGACATCAGCCATGCACCCATGAAAAAAAAACATATGAAGACAGAGATCACAAGTTTAACAGTAAACACCCAAAGATTTTGAAACAATAAATGTGTGTAAGATTTTCTGCTGATGCCTGTCTGAGTCTAATGTTCCAGTGGGTTTCTCCAGGACACAGTGAGGGACTCAGACTGTTAAATACATGCTGATCTAAACTAGATAGTGTTTGTGGGCGTGCGAGGTCCAGTGGAGCATTCTCTCCAGCTGTAGTGTACTTTCTGAATGCATGGTTCATATTCAACTGTGAAATTAAATCTCCAAAGCCTTTGCTTTAAAGCCACGGACAAAATAGACCTGCAGTGAAATTAGATCTGAAATGTGGCAATGAAATGCTGAGTCTAGGAGTGATTTTTATCAGAGTGGGTGATGAAACAACCTTTACAGACACTTCAAAACAAACTCCAGACACAGAAAAACACTCAGTAAAACCAGCCTGGTTGGATATCAAGCCGGTTTAGTATATTTTAAAGCATATCCTCAAGCATATTAATCCTTGGACAGTTGGTTCATACAGATAAGCATGTAGTTTTGATGGGAGGTGTGGTCCCTGAGAGCAGATCCGATGCATGGCTGTCAAACTTCAACTTTCTCAAGTTTACCAACACGAACAGCTGGGCGAGCCATTTCGTTCCACTTTACCTCATCAAAGACAGCAGCCTATCCGTGTACACTGACTGCGCAAAAGTACACGCACGGAACAGGAGAATGTGCGGAAATAACGCAACATGGCAAAGTTGATGTTTTTATGCTCAAACAGATTGGTCTTAAGCAGAAAAAAAAACTTTACATGAGTGTTTACAACTTCCACAATAAAATGGTTTACATACTCCAAGCTCTCTTCATAGAAAGAGTTCAGACTAGGACATCAGAAAATATTTGAAGATTCACACCTTCCTGCAGCTAGACCACAAACTGTGCAAAGAAAGCAATCTTAGTGAAGGGATTTTATATTTACCTTGCTGGGGGATTCCTTTGAAAAGCGGCTATTTAGACTTTCAAAATGCTACTTGACTTTTTCATTTCCCTTCCATGTTCAGCGTACTGTAAGTCGACCCCTCCCCTGCTCGCTACCAGCGCTTTTTATTTAGAAACGCCCTGCTGCCGTCACCCACGATGTAGTGTGGCCCCTTCATACTGCGCCTGCGCAATGCGCACTAGTCAGAAAGTCATAAACCACACTACACTAATGGGTAGAGCTTTTCATGAATTACTTTTGGTTAGAACATGCCGTGTGGGCTATTGTCAAGCAGTTCTGCCATGTTAATGAGTTATTTTGGAACTGGGTAAAACTAAAGCAATGATTCCATAATACTGTGCATTATTAGCCTATGATAGCGTTCATATAGTGTCTACTTTTTTCACTACTGGAATTTAATGAAGTACATTCATTCAGGTATACTATTGAATTTGTAATTTAGAACGTTACCTGAGTATTTCTATGGCCTACTAAGCAGATTTAAATGTCATCTCAGAAAAAATATTGCTCTTTTGTCTCCACAACAGTTATCTGACAGCTGTAGTTACCTAACAAAGGCATATTCTATTTATGCATCTATTCATTTATTTTTTGCAGTTAAAATCATTGTGTGTCTAAACATAGAACATTTTAAATTAAGGTAGGATTATATAATAAAATATTTTATTATAAGAGAAATATCAAGCAAAATTCAAGGAGACAACGCTGACATCTAGAGGTTATAATTAGTAAATGGAATGTTCCGTGTTTCAAACTTCATGTCCCATCGGCCAATGCGCGTTTCCCATCACTCTTTGCACCAGTCCCATTCTCGCTCCGTCTCGTGTGGTCCCAAGCTACCGCCGTTGTTCTAGTGAGAGAACCTCAACATGGCATCTGACGGACCACCCGGTACCGAATCTCTCCCGTCCGATTTAGGGAGTGCTATTGCGGCTTTAAACACATGGAGCAACCCAGAGCTCCAGGCAAAGCTGGCGGAGCTAGGAGCCCCCACAATGGGTAAGATAAGACTCCAAAAGAAGCAGGGAGCACTGGGAGAAGAGTTGTGTTTAGCTAGCTAACAGTAACTATATAGCCGCTAATGATATCAAGCGCAAACGCAACACTTCCGTTGGAGTTAACTAGCTAAAGACTGGCCCCACCGCTTGTTTACACTCTTAATATATATATTCGCACCTTTGGTATTCCTGTACGTTACAATTTAATGCGTGTGGCGTGGTTAAAGTATCACTAATGGAATATATTTGATATTGTGGGTTTAGTTGGCTTGCAAGCTAGCTTTTAGAGCTAGCTAGCTTAAACACCGTTAGGGTTAATGTTAGTGTTAGCTAACTTTTGTATTGTGCTGTTAAGTACGACATTTTTGTGGCAAATGACCCTTAGCTTCATCTTGCACACAGACTCGTTTTAGTGTTGTATCATGACCAGTATTAACAGAATATTTTTCCTTTTTTCAGGTCCTAGAGAGGAGCTGATTGACAGACTGAAGGGCTACATGATGCAGGTAACAGCAGTTTTCAAGAACTGATGTTGAATGTGTGCACCTTTGGAAAAAAGTCACTTGCACTTTAATAAATTTGGTTGCAAAATGCGGCTGATCACTCGCAGTCTGGAGCCTTGCTTGTACTGTATGTGGATGCAGTTTGATACATCTGTATCTGCCCCTATTAAAGGAATTTCCAACTACATAAACATAATGCAGTAAGGGTTTCTCAAGCATACCACATTTTAAGTCATTAAGGAATGAGAATTTTTCAGCTTTTTTATACAATAAATCAGTTGTGAAGCACTTTGTTGGGTAGTGCTGCTTGAAGTGTTGTCTTGGGTGCCAGAACCTTTACTCATTTGCTTTGCATACGTTTCCCTCTACAGACTAGGATTCTCCTCAGTAAGCCTGGTGATGACAAACCAATGGGCTCCCAGGTAAATATTCTTACTGTATCACATTAACAAAACTGCCTACTATATCTCTGCATTGTGTGGCAATTGTAACACTGCTGTGTAATTGAGGGTCTTTCTAGAATTTCTGTGTATGATGGTGCTAACAGATAATTTTATGTACAGTGCTGGCATTTGACACCTAATTTTCAAAGTGTTGTAGTGGTCTTAACAATGGAGTATGATGATGTGCTACTATTGTTTTAATTCTGTCATTATAAATGTGATTATTTTCTTAGACATTGTGACTATACTGTTTGGTTTTGGTATGGGACATATGATTGCCAATTTACATCCAGATTATATTTGCTCTGTATATTCTATGATACAAAATTAAGACTGTCAAAAATATGTGTTCTGGTATATGCAAGTAATTATGCAGCTCTTATTAAACATGACCAACTTCATTTTCCTTACCATATTGTGATGCTTTTCCCACACCACTACTGACTAAATATAAATGTATAAGGAAAGGGTAAACTAAATTTGTGCTTTATAAATTAATGTATAAGAGGAATGTCACCTTAAAGCCTCAGTATTAGTTCATTTTACAACTTCACATGTCCCATCCTTCTCACAGATGCCAGGTATCCCTCCTATGCCCCCTCTGCCCATGCCACCCATCCCTCCTGGTATGGGCATGATTCCAGCTATGAGCATGATGCCTGGGGGGCCCCCTCCACCTGGCATACACATGGGCATGGAGCCCCCAGGTTTGCCTCCTCCTGTCCTGTCACAGGATGATCAGTTGAAGATGGCTCAGCAGAGAGCAGCTATGGTGTTACAGCAGGAGGAGAGAGCCAAGCAGGTGAGGGTGGCTGGACCAGTTTTTTGTGTAAATAATCTGTGATTAGCTTTGCCTTTAAAACAAAAACATGGCACTGAGATGCAATTGGCCTGTGAGGTAGTGCGTTGGGTTGTAGAATCTAAATTAACATAGCATCAACTTCTATCACACATATATGTAAGATACCTGATAAAAGTTTCAGTTGCTATAAAGAGAGTACTGCAACAAGGACTTCTTGCCTTTTCAAAATAGGAGGATTAAACAGAGAAAATTGTGCAAAGTGAGTTTTTGTTTTTACAGAGCTGCTCAGGCATTAATGTTTGTGTATATCACAGGGTGATTCCCGAGTCGTGGATGAACAGGATCTTCTGGAGCAGCAGAAAAGGGTGAGATAGACAACTTGTCCCATAAAGTCACTTCTTTTGATGGGTTATCAGTTAAAGAGCATTACTTCCAGAAGGTTGAAGGTTTGAATCTCTCAGTCCACATTTCGAAGTGTCCTTGGGCAAGACACTGAACCCCCCACCCCCTTTGCCCGTGATGATGGCTTGTATGTATGTAGCGGCCCATGGTCCTTGGCTCCTAACATTATTTTGTTGTACGTGTTACAATGTATGTTACAATGACAATAAATAAAGCTTCTTCTTCTTCTCTTTGCATGTCAGGCTGCAGTGCTGCTGGAGCAGGAGCGTCAGCAGGAGATGGCTAAAATGCAGGGCCCAGACCCCAGAGCCATGCCCCCTGTCAGCACAGTAAGGGGTATGTTGGTTATGTAGTGATTTTGTTCAGATTCCTGCCACAATAGCTCAACCTTAATCACTTTATTTAATGCCTACGCCACCAATTCAAAAAAACGATGCAGTTCCTGAAGTATATGGTTTAACTTTTGTTGTGAGGGAAGGTTTATGGTCTCCAGCACAGTTTTAGGGCTGACTTTTATATGACAGATTTGGCGTAAATGATCTCACCAAAATAAAAAGCTGACAGTAGCTGCAAACTGTTTGCAGGTTTGGATCCACATGGGCCGCTGCCTCCTGGTGTCAGCATGTTGCCTACCCAGAAACAGAGAGTGCCGCCGCCTCCTCCAGGAGAAGACAGCAGAGAGGTGAGCAGACTTTAGTTTTTCTCTCGGTGTTTAAGTTTGTACAAGTAAAAACAGTTTTTAATAGTGGATCTTAAAATTACAGGTTATGTAAATAGCTTTATTCTTTTCCAAACCCTTTGTCCAGTTATCATGCTAGTTTGTATCTAAATCTTGAATGTTGTTACAGCAGCACTAGATAGTTTGATTCTTTTAAGGGAATAACATATAACAACATTTCTATCCACCATGTTGATAAATATGACCAAATAAATTCTTAAAACTTAGTGTATATTATTTCCAGGATTTATGTTGTCACTTAGATTTTGCCTGAAAACATACATACTGTATGTGTTCAATTAAAACTGAGAGAAAATGATTGACCATTAGCTTTAAAACCAGAATTTTCTTACATCTCCCCCTCTCGTTGACAGAACGAGGAGGTAAGTGTCAGCGGACCCAAGATCCCTCAGGTGCTGGAGAAGATCCTCCAGCTAAAGGAGATCAGACAGGAGCAGCTCACTGATCCCACAGGTCAGTAAAGGTGTCAGCTGAATTTTCCCCTGACAGACAGAAAAAAAAAACTGAGTTCACACAAATAAACACTACATTTGCCTACTTGGCTCTAATTTGTCTCTTGACTTTTTGTCTTCTCTTCAGAAGAGGAAGATGATGATGAGATGGACATGACCAACTCCTCAGCTCCAGTCATGTCGGAGACAGAAGACGACGATAACCAGATGTCTAAGAAAGATGTAAGTCTTGTCTCACATCTTTCTGTTATTACTCTGTTACTACTACTGCGCTGCTGTATCTTGAATATACAGCATCAGTTCTGTACTTGTGATATTTTAGTTGATTGTTATTGATACTTTAGTGCACTGCTCAGTGGATTATGGTAATCCTGAGGAAAATTCACTGTTTCATCAACAGGTCATCTTGGATATTTGAGTTATGTGTGCTGTTTTTGTGGAAGTGGAGTCTAAATTCATTGCTGATTTTCACAATGCTTTTTGGGTCTTGATATTTGCACATCGTCACCAAAAATTGCTCTTGTGAGTGCACTGGCTGATGTAATCTCAAGATAACCAAGTGCAAAACACAAAGTATATCAAGTAATGCTTAACAAGGCATGGTTTTTTATTATGCTTAATTAAGTTAATAGTTTTAAATTTAATGAACAAACATTTTCCTCAGAAAAATCGCAAGCGCAGAAACCGCAAGAAGAAGAGCAAGAAGAAGCGAGCCCAGGAGAAGAAGGAGCAGGCAGAGCAGCAGAAGAAGGAGGGCAGCGACAAGGAGAAGGACAAAGACAAAGACAAAGACAAAGAGAAGAGCCCTGAGGTGGAGATCGAGTATGTCACAGATGAGCCGGAGATTTACGACCCCAATTACATCTTCTTCAAGAGGATCTTTGAGGCGTTCAAGGTGAGAGACAGAAGAATACTCACCTAACTCCCTTTTGCAGGCGGCTGTTTAATGATGGTTGAAGATTAGTTTTGTTGCTTACAGTTGTTTTTTTGCTCATACATTGTTTTTCCACTCATGCGGTCGTTTCCTTTTCTTTTCCAGCTGACAGATGATGTGAAAAAGGAGAAGGAGAAGGAGCCTGAGAAGGCTGAGAAGCAGGAGACAGCTGTGCTGCGGAAAAAGGGTTTTGAGGAGGAGAAGAAAGACAGTGATGAAAGTGATGAGGTCTGAATCCTTTCAACTGTTAGGAAAACAGAACAGAGAGAACAAAATCCTGTTTGTTTATCTCTCAGTTGTGTTTTTCATGTACAGGAAGTCAGACCGGATGCACCTAAACTGTCCAAGAAGAAGCTGAGGAGGATGAATAGGCTGACTGTGGCTGAACTCAAACAGGTGAATTAAGATTCATAAATGACCTGTCCTCAACATGTTTTGAGGAATCTACACATTAGCAGATGTTTTTCAAGACAAATAGAGCCAATACTCTTTAATCTAATCTCTCATTCCTCCTCTCTTCTTCAGCTGGTGGCCCGTCCTGATGTGGTGGAAATGCATGATGTAACAGCTCAGGAGCCCAAACTGCTGGTCCACCTGAAGGCCACCAGGAACACGGTGCCAGTTCCCCGCCACTGGTGCTTCAAAAGAAAATATCTGCAGGGCAAGAGGGGTATCGAGAAGCCTCCATTTGAGCTGCCTGAGTTCATCAAGAGGACAGGGATCCAGGAAATGAGGGAGGCCCTGCAGGAGAAGGTGGGTTTTGGAAGCAGTAGTACCACTTTAGCTTTTCTAACTTCTACACAATGATTAAATACAACCATTTTCATCGATTTACAGGAGGATGCCAAAACCATGAAAACCAAAATGAGAGAGAAGGTGCGACCCAAGATGGGAAAGATTGACATTGATTACCAGAAGCTCCATGACGCGTTCTTCAAATGGCAGATTAAACCCAAGCTCACTATTCATGGAGACCTTTACTATGAGGTACCAGATCCTTGAGAATAAAAATGTTTCTCACCATTCTCTTACCTTTCAGTAAAGTCTACTTTATATCTGGTGGACAGAAGTACTTAATGTAACAGAAGTTGCAATCAGCAAAGTGCAATTTTATTTATAAAAGTCCAGCAGTTGACCTGCCTTTTGTGTGGTTTTGTGTGTATACAGGGTAAAGAGTTTGAGACTCGTCTGAAAGAGAAGAAGCCTGGTGACCTCTCTGATGAGCTGCGAATCGCTCTGGGCATGCCAGTCGGACCTGTGAGTTCCACCAACGTTAGAGTACCTTGGGAATTTCTGAGCTAAAACACAAAAAGGCACAAATGCAAAGTTAGCAAAGCTTTGGAATAACGTGTAATTTCTCTCAAATTAGAAGAAGCACAAAGATTGTGTGTGTATACACACCGTGTAGTTTGTGTAAAATTAAAGGTTCTATATGTCCCAAAATATATTAACTACCCTGTGCTGCTGTTGTCTGCCTTAATGCACTGAATATACCTGGATAACTTCTTTTCTTTTGAAGTCACCAGTTGTGGGATATGGCAGTAGACATGGACACATGAATATTTTTAGCTCCAGTAAACCCTCAGAGAATTGGCCCAGTATTCCACAAAGGATCTGAGCAGAATAGTTTAACTTTGCTACTGCTTTACAGCATTACAGTTTTATTGTGGAAACAGTGCTGGTCAGGGAGCTTATGTTGTCCAACGTTGTTCTCCCCAGAACGCCCACAAAGTGCCTCCTCCCTGGCTAATAGCCATGCAGAGGTACGGCCCCCCTCCCTCCTACCCCAACCTCAAGATCCCCGGACTCAACTCCCCGATCCCAGAGGTAAGGCTGTATATCACACCATACAGCAGAGACCTTTTTGTACTTGTACAAATCAAACCCTGTTAATATTAACTTTCCTGCACAAACCCAAATATTGAAAGGGTTATTACAAAGACATTGACCCTAATTTTAACCTTATTATTAGGAAGTATTATATCAGTGGATATACAGTATGTGGATGAATGTATTTCACTGTATCTAGTTTTTGTTGTTTCTGGAGCTTGTTGTGTTTGTCTTCATCCTCCTGCCCCTCTGTCTGTCAGAACTGCACATTTGGTTATCACGCTGGAGGCTGGGGGAAGCCGCCAGTAGATGAAATGGGCAAACCTCTTTACGGTGATGTGTTTGGGACCAATGCTGCAGACTTCCAGGTAATAACACTACACCCAACCCCACTCACCCACAAAATATGCAAATTCAGGGTTCTTACAGGTTCTCTGCAGGGCGTGCAAAGCACTTCTACTGCGGTAGAGCTATTCCCTTTCTGCCAGTATTCTGGCTATACAAGAGTTTTCATTTACAGTTATACTGCCTGATTGTTATGTGGAGAACTGATGGATGAAATTGTCTGTGTGTCCAGGCCAAAGCGGAGGAGGAGGAGGTGGACCACACACCGTGGGGAGAGCTGGAGCCTTCAGATGAGGAGTCCTCAGAGGAGGAGGAGGAGGAGGAGGAGAGCGATGAGGAGAAACCAGATGAAACTGGGTTCTTCACACCAGCAGACAGGTACTTCAATCAGCATATTACAAAATAGAAGTGCATGAATTTTGAAGAGGTTCTTCACCCAGAACCTGGTTTTATGTCAGTGAGCATAAGTGGTGTAAAATAAAAGTCTTGTTCTTATTTTTAGGAACAGGAAAGCTGCTAAACGTAGTTCTGCCTGTCACATTCTGCAAGGTTATTACATTCTCTCAGTGCAGAGACACACACTAATGATATTACCATAATTTACCATGTAATTATAAGATCAACTGACTTGTGAACGCTGGGATTAAAGCACCTGATTAAACAGGGTAAATTAGTTCAATTGATGAGGTGTCTGACTTGTCTGTGATGATCTGTATGCACAACCCTGGTCATTTGTCTTGTCCTTTTTGTGTGTATTAATGGGTAAATATCAGCTCATTCCCACAGCTCCATGACACATAGTGTTTAATATTCATCATGTACTGTATTTCATTGTGTGTGTGTGTGTGTGTGTGTGTGTTTCAGGAAGTAAAGACCCCCTGGAGGCTTCTCATCAGTACCCGCCGGCATGGAGACCCCAGAGCTGATTGAGCTGAGAAAGAAGAAGATTGAAGAGGCCATGGATGGGTGAGTGTCGCTCTGCACTGTCACGGCCGTGATGCTGTTTTAAGGTACCACTGACTCTAGCAATAGTTCTCCTGCTGTTTGTGTCACCACATGCTGGAAACACATAAGGATTAAGTTGAATTGATATCATAGTTCACCTAAAGCTCCCACTGTTTATAACCTCCTTTTACTGCCCATAATTCTGGGGAAACATCTCTAATCCCACTATAAAGAATGTTTTCATTACTCATCACATAACAAAGCATCAGTACAGTAAGCATCAATACAAAATTTTATTGTTTGTAGGTATTTTGTATGGTAAATACAAGTTAATGTCCAAATTGGAAGTGACCACCAGCCTCATTTGTTTGTAACCAGTCATTGTTTAGAGAGAGTGTCCTGTTTATTTTGTATAGAAAATATGTACTGACTAATGGAAGTAAAGACACTGCAGCTGCCAGTTTATTGGTTTGACCGTGCTGTTGTGTTCATAGAAATGAGACACCACAGCTGTTCACGGTGCTCCCTGAGAGACGAACTGGCCCCGTGGGAGCAGCCATGATGGCCTCAACACACATCTACGAAATGTCAGGGGTAAGACAATGCTGAGATAAGATGTTTGTCTGTGTCTTAAGCATGTAAATATGTTAAAGTGAAATCAAAATCCTGCTGTCTGAAGCCATGTCTTAAACCTCCTCCTGTTTCTTCCTTATGTTTTATCTTTCTGCTCTTTAGCAGGCCATGGTCAGCCGTAAGGTAGGCGGAGGGCAGGAGTCTCAAGGCGTGGAGGTGGCCCTGGCCCCAGAAGAGCTGGAGCTGGATCCTATGGCCATGACCCAGAAGTACGAGGAGCACGTCAGAGAGCAACAGGCCCAGGTGGAGAAGGAGGACTTCAGTGACATGGTGGCTGAGCACGCTGCCAAACAGAAGGTACAGAGCCACCAGATCAAGGGTTGTAGTTCTCTTTCATGTCAGTTGTCTTTACTGGTTGCTGATGATAAAGCACAGTGTTCGCTTCCAGGCAGCTGTAGCTTAAATTTGCCATAAATATATAAAGAGCTACACAGTGACTGAGTAAGTGACGAATGATGTATTTGTGCAACATTAAACAATCATATTGAAGTCAGTCATAATTAACAGATCAGAGGCTGCGTAGGAAAATGCATGGTTCTACACAAGTCTTATTTATAAACTAAAGGAAAGTGGAAGCTGGCAATGCAGTGTGCTTTACAGTAATTTCAGTTTTCCCCTGTGGTTACATTTGAATATTAATAAGCTTCCCCCTGCTTAATTGTCACTGTACAGCAAAAAAAGAGGAAGGCCCAGCCACAGGACACGCGAGGCGGTGCCAAGAAATACAAAGAGTTCAAGTTCTAGGCTGGAAATGCCAACAAGAAGAAAGGTGAGAGAATAAGCCACAACAGAAGATGAAATGGGAAGAACTGTACTCACATTTTAACGTCTGAGGATATAGGCTGCAACACCAGTCACCTGTTAGACCAGTACCAGTAAATGGATGTTTTATTTCTTTTTTAAAACCATTACTGTCACTTCAGAGTGGTGGCGTGCATTTATTTTACCTCCATGGTTATGTTTTCCACTGTAACCATGTTGTGTTTTTTTTCTTTCCCCCTGTAAATAAATTAAATGATGAAAAGAGTTTGCAACTGTTCTGTCCTTAGAGTTCTGTTTCATTTGATTCATCACTCTGGGGAAAGTTTGTAAGTTTCCACTTTAGGTAATCATGTGCCAGTGGTAAAATTCATGTTATTTGCTGTGTCTGACTCAACTGGTCCTGCGTCAGGCAGAGTTTGCACCTTATTTCTTTGTATAATAAGAGCATGGAAGTGTGAGTCCAAATGAGACTGTGTCCAAGTCAAAACCAGACCAAACAATAGAGACTGGTGGTAAAAGCTGAGCTCATCCTGTATAGCTACTGCCCTAGTTCTGATGTGTTCTTTGCCTAAAAACTTCACTCTTAATACTCCTGACAGCAGCTGTTTCAGGTCTTCGCCGGCTCGGTTGCTGTGGTAACGCTGATCTCATCACGGCAGGAGCAAAGCTATCAGGGGAGCACTGCATGCACCAGGGACCACTAGAGGGTTATTGCTTCAGACTTTCAACTAATGACTCATTGATCCCCTAAACATGCAAATTAGCTGCTATTATTTTCCAATAAAACAAGCTGCAATCCACACGTCTGTGGCTAGGGGGCAGTAAAGAGCTTTTGACAGTCACCTGACCATGTAGAAGCACAGTGACCTAAATGCTGCAGCCATGCAGCAGCCTCATGATGCTGACTTTCTCATTAGTCCACATTAGTCCACATTGTCCATATCAAGGCAGCAACAGTAGGCATTTGTATGTTCTTATCACTAAGTGGAAAAAGGCGGGTTTACAGTTAAACCTTTGTGAGTGGCCCCTCTGCCTCTGGGAGTATTTGAAATCTGCTGCTTCATTGGTTTAGTATAGGACACTGAGCCGGCCATCCATCAGTGTTTCCTATTGTTTATTCCTGCAATCAACATCAAAATCTTTACTCATAAATTACTTTGATTAATTTATTGTCAACAGTCCCTTAGGAAATGTATAGTAAACGGATGATAAACACCTTTATCATTAGAGCTGAAGGGGCTGGTTGGTTGGAAAAAGTTTAGTTGCTCCATTGATTGTTCTGGTCATTTTTCTTGCACAAGCACCAAAACGCTCTCAGGTTCCAGCTTCTCAAGTGAGACAGTTTTATGTTGTTTTTATGGTATATGATAGTAAACGTTTTTGGAATTTGGTCTGTGTCAGAGAAAACAAACAATTTGAATGTCATCTTGGGCTCTGGGACATTGTAATGGCCTTTTTTCACTATTTTCTGAGATGTTCTGACAATCATGAATTCAGTTAATCATTATTTGCAGCCCATATAAATATATCGGTTGGGTTATTTTCCAAGTGGAGGTATCAGTGAACATCTGGATCAAATCCATATTTTTTCCTGCTGTATTTACGATACAGTCCATTGTAAATCCTGCATGGATCTACATGTGGGAAACAGTTGCGTTGCATGAGGGATGTTATTTATGTATATAGCAACTGACTTTGGAGCCAGTACAGTTTCACTTGACGACTTGGCAGATTTGAGGCGCAGTGTAAAAAGTAACTGAGGATTATCCTGTGACCGTGTCTTAATCTGCTTGACTCTAATCTATTTAAAAATGGAAGGAGCTGCTGGTGAGAGAAGCGAGTGAGCAAGAGCAGGGAATTTGCACCGTGTTTAAGCCATTCAGCTGATTATCCAGAGCAAGGCACAGACAAGGACATTCACAGGCAAGCAGAGAGTCTGCATGGTTTTAATTCTAGCTCATCAGTGAACCAGATGATTTCACTGAATGTTACACCTTCAGTCTGAGAGGATGAGCTAGTTAGCAAGTCGTACTTTTGTTTTGCCCAGTTAGGATGAAAAGCAAGTCTTCTCTGGTCCTTTTATGGCAATGAATGCTTGATATAAATATATATACATGACAAGCTTTATAAAATGGAACACTAGCAGTTCTGTTACATTATTTACCAGTTATCACTGTCACTTGTGATATTTCTAATGTCCCTTAAAAGTAGCATCATTCTGAGAGGTGGAATTCTTCATTCAGTTCTAGAGTATTTCCTGTGCCACACATTTGAAAACCGTCCACAAACATTACAAGCAGATAATGTTGTTTGAAGCTGCCTGCAGACAAACAACAAGCCAGACTTGCTGTGACATCAGCGGAGCGATGAGATCACCTTCTGATTCATACTGACGTTCAGAGATTGTAATCATAGCCCTGCCTTTGTCACCTGAGGATGCAAACAATGCACCTGTCTCATGCTGCATTGACAGACAGCCAAACCCTGGAGAGCTGCAGCATGGTTAGACTTTCAGAGGAAAAAGGGGTGAAAATAGGCTTCCGTTTTGTGCTTGTGAGAAAAGCCAACTTGGATAAATGCATGGATGACAAGCATTTATGTATTTTCTTTTCAAAGATTTTGTTGTTACACAGATGCAGCTTAAAAACCACAGTGCTGATAACAAAGAATGTTACATTTGTACCTCGTAATCGGCTTTTTTGAAGTCAGAAAAATCTGTTCTGATGACTAAAAGCTGGGTTTTCTCACCACTTCTAGGTGTCTTATACATAAGATCAGAGAAAGACCAAAGTTATAAACTGAAAACAAGGTAAATTCACAGACTATAACCGGTTTTGCACCTTTGTATCCTCACCTGCTTGCAGCAGCTGAAAGGTGGCGAGTGGGTGTGTAGGCTTGCATGTGTCTGTGACTAATGGGACTAATTTTGGCAACACCTGAGACTCCAGACAGTGTGCCACATGGGGCTAAAATAGAATAATTCACAGATTTACCAGCACTGACTTGCAGAACACACCAGAATACCTATATTTGCATATTTTCTCATAAGCCACAGAGTGTAAAAATAATTCTGCAGGTGGCGAGAGAGTAAAGAAGTGAAATGATTTAAAGGTTATCTGGTTCAAATCACTTCCATTGTAGAGAGGAGGAGGTGTTTTCCCACTCTGTGCTGTTAATATTAATAATCCCTTGGATTTGTTTGTCTAGTGATAACCATGAAACCTACGTGCCTGTCCAGACAAACTGAGACCTTTTACTAATCTTTGACACCATAAATGTTGTTGTTGGGTAATTTTAGGTTTAATTAAACCAAAACGTCAGATATATACAGCATATGGGCAAAAGGTTACATGATGTGTATTAAATTACATCAGGCAGATACTGGTATGAGCCTGATGTGATGGTCCATACCTTAATGCAGCTTGCACACACACGCACACACACACTGAATACGCTGTTTATTTCCCTATACAGTATAGTGACAGTGTAATAATAATAAACTTAATACAAATATTTAAATATATATATATATATGAAAATGTATTGGCCGCCCCCCCCCGTTTCCTGCACCGATGAACACTTCCACCCAGCTCACACTGAGCAGACTTCGAGGTGAGCGGCGATAGAGGGAGGGCTACAGGGACAGACACGGACTCTTTCTGCCTGCCTTTGGGTACAAACCCCGAGCAGAGCACTGCAATGTTTTCACTACCGGGCGGCGACTAACGGAGCAGCTCAACTTTCCGCTGCCTGTTCACGGGAGCGTTCCACGAATTTACCCCACCAGGAGCCTGGAAAACCGAGGCAAAGGAAAGAGGAGGAGATCCGACAGTACACACATAGAGAGAGAAGCCAGGCTACTACGTATATCCCTCCCATTAGCTCCGTCTGAAAGCTCGGCTTCAGCCTCCAGGATGTCGGAGCGCGGAGGGCTTCCGCGGACTGGGGGCGTCCCATCGCCGCACATGCAGCCCTCCAAGCCGGTCAGCATCACCTCCAACCGGCCGGTCCAAATGAACCTGTACGCTACCTGGGAGGTGGACCGCTCCTCACCCAGCTGCGTGCCGAGGTATGTGGCAGTGAAAGCCGTCAGGCTGGGGGATAGACAAACACCCAGCGGTGCCTCTTTGACTGTTGCTGTTAGTGTAGTAGTTTGTTGACATGGACACATCACATTTAAACCATAATGCTTTCTTAATCTAGTTGGGATAGTTACATGCTCTCTACATCTGACTGGACCCTCTTTAGTCCCTGCAGGACCCTTTGAGGTCCTCAGTCTGCAGTTTTACTGCCCCCAGTAATAACCAACAAATAATCATTACAGACATGTTTACCCATTCTCTCAGCAGACTGTTTCAGTTGTTGGCCACTGATCAATGCAGACACAAAGATTGATGAAGCGTTGGGTTGCAGACTGTCACTGCAACTACAGAAGGGCATTTTGTATATGTATACAATACAGCTGTAACATCAAGTGCCAAATGAATGGATGATCTCTGAGGTGTCTCTGCAGACAGGAATGACTCATTTTTGAAATAATGTTCAGTCTATTACCTTGTTGTGTTTTAGGTTATGATGCAATGGAAGTTGTTGTTTGTTCTAGCCAGCAATGCAGCAAGGTCACTGTAGATGAGACACCTGCACCCTTCTTTGTTTGACTCACCTGCCAGTATGTGAAGGGATTCAGCCGGTTGATGTGTATGTCATACTGCTGACAGAAGCAGATGCACGTGCTCGTGCGACCTGTGGTAGTTTCATCTGCATGAAAGGAAACAAATCAGATGTGATGTATATACTGCGTGTTCTGCAGCTCATGTCTGTCCCCCTGTATTTATGATGCCATAGTAATAAGGGTAGACATGAGTTAGCTTCAAGGTCAAAGGTTAACCGCTGTGACTGAAATGCCCCTGGTGTGATTCACAGCCTTGTTAAACATACAGCTGCTGATGGATTCTACAGCAGATCAAACTGCAAAGAGGAAGGTAGAAAAGGGGAATCAGGTTGAAATGGAAAATCTGCAACTGTCTAGTAAAATGAAATAGAAAGTTACTCTTTAAATTTTGGTGTTTTCTGCTCATCAGATGGAAATGAATCCTTCCAGATGAGCCCAGATGTTTACATTACTGAAAGCAATAAGCGGGAATACAACATGCTGGTAAAAGCATCACACATGCTGACATCTTAATGCTGCTTTCTAAAATGCTTTGGGGCTTTACTGGGTTCGAAGCAAAGCCTCAAGGGCATGTTTTGATTCTTAATGCTTGCCAGTGTGTGTGTGTGTGAGCGTGGCTGTGTACCATGCGCCTGGATCTATATTTCGGATGAATAAAACATCTATTGTTAGCCTACATTTTAAATATCTTTTATCCTGACCTTTCCTTTGAGATACAGACTGGCACTCTTTGTGTCTGCGCAGTAATACCCACGGCCGATTCTGAATATGTTGGCGACGTGCCTTGAAATGTGATTTATTTATTTGATGTGGCTTTTTTTTCTGCAGGCGTCACAGTTCATCAAGTATGTTCAATTTCACTGCGGTTGCTGTAACAGAGAGCGACTCTGAGAATAAAAAAAAAAAAGAGGAATGGAGAGAAACAGGCTGAGACTGGGAACTCTGATCTACATTTAAATAGGATTTCACACAGACAGGCACCAAGACTGTCTGCAGAAACAGTGCTAATACTAATATGTGCCACAGTCTTCCACAGCAGCCTCTACCACAGACTGAAATTCAGCCCTGGCGATGTTTTGCAGGAGCTGCTTCTTGTTGTCTGTCGTGTTGCCTAATCTTTGTTGCTGCAGCTTCCCCTCTTTAGCTGGGGTGTTGTTACTCTAACCTCTTCCTGTCAACTCAAAATGCAACTTGGTATGTTGTTTACACTTTGCTGTGGGTTGCTTTCGTCCTGGCAGGCACAAACAAGCACTCAGCTGCCTACTCCAAATCCTGATTTGTCGAGAAACCTGGAAAAATGCTAAGCAAAGCAGCAGCGACTGCGACTTTTTTTTTTATTTTGAGGGGGGTGGGGTTCATGTTCAATGGGGAGTACCAGGAAATGTTCGAGAGAGAGATGATATCACTTGTTTAAGCAGTCATGAGTCAAATTGTTTTCAAGTGCACTGTATGTGTCTTCAGGTTTGAACAAGCGGGACACCCTGAATATTTGTATGAAGGGCACAGAAGCACAGTCATCTGAAAAGCAGCTCCACCCTTCCTCATATCTCTCAGCACATGGGGCTGCCTCTAGGGTCATTTCTGTGCTCTGCCTTCCTGACCTTCTATTCTTTACATGAGAGGAATAAATTCCTGCCCTGGCTCCAGACCAGCTTTTTGAGCACAGTGTAGTGGGTGATTCCTCTCTCAGCTGTCTCTTCTAGGTTCTGCAGTGTCATTAAGACACACACACACACACACACACACACAGCCTATATAAATGGGTACTTGTTGGTACTATCTCCTCTGCTTGCCTTATTGGTTCTGCTCTTTCACTTCAGGGTAGGGGGGCAAAACATTCATTGTCTAAAGCCAAATAATCCTGCTGATGTGTACAGTAGCTGCTCCAACCAGTTAACAGCTGTGATGAATACAGATCAGCAGTTCTCAGGTGTACTTAGTGCTACTGTCAGGTGGAGTGTCAACTGCTGCCACTGTTCATACCAGCACCCAGCAGAGTTTGGCTGAGGCCTCCTCTTTCAGCACTTCTACAATAGGTATTCCAGGAATAGGTCCAGATTCCGAGCTCCATGCCTTTCATTATTAAGGAAAACCTCCTTGCACAGGAGAGGGGAAAGGTCCCATGATTTAAGTCCATAGATGAACACTGCAGTAAATCTCTGCAGCTTCTAAGCCATGAGGGAGTAGTAGGGAGTCTTCTTTCCTAGTTACAGGTCAGATATATATAGGAAGGAATGTGGAAAGACACTTGGAGGATTCTGAAGGCTTTAGGCATGAGTTTGCTTTGAGGTACTTGTTCCCAACTTTTCCATTCTTGTGATCTTGATATCTCAGGAACACCTTGTGGGAATTTCTTCAAATTGGGCACAACTTGTGTCCACTTGGACTCGGGTGAACTGAATAGATTTTGGTGGTGAAGGTCAAGGTCAATGACCTCACATCTGTCCGTTCCTGTAGATTTGACTGGTTGGCAGAGCCATACTATCATGAAGTGATAATTCTAGTTTGCCCTTGAAATGAAGACGGGAAATGGAATCCTTTCAAGGCACAACTGTGTATTTCTGCTGTACAGGACATAAAGGAATAGTTTGACCTTTTGTGAAGTCGCTTATTCACATTCTTGTAAAAAGCAAAATGAGAAAATCGAGGCCAACTTTGCAGCCAGAGCCACGAGGTGATTAGCTTAGCTTAGTGAGTGAGGAGAAACCAGCCCGGCTCTCTCCTACATTAAAAATCATCTAAAACCACAAGTAACTTTTACTGCTGTGTTTGCTTATGCATCTAACAAACAAGATTCAGCTTTTTAATTGGAGAAGCTGCCACAGGTTTTTAAACTCTGACTTTACCCAGTGGATTGTGAGATAATCTCATGGGTCACACAGCGCTTGTCTTTTTAATAAGATTTTTGTACTCCTGAAATACTGTCAGCCACTGGATTTTAACAAACAGCAGAAAAGAGAACTCTCATATTTTATTTATTTTATTTTTGTTTCACTGATCTCTGGGGCAATTGCTGTTGCAGTTGTTTTAAACTTTGAGCCAAAAACTGAACCATAATCCAATATATTAAGACTTTGAATAGCCATAGTAAGTAGCCTGCAGTAATCTAAACATCAGTCATGTCAATGTTTGCATCGAGGAACCTTTTAAAATGTCTAGTTTTAGGTCCTTCAAATGTTTTTTTTTTTGCCAGTTCTACTCTTGAGCTCTGTATGTTCCTCAAAAGAACCTCAGCTAAAAGCCTAGAGACGTAAAGCTTCACATATACATACAGCATAAATAACAGCATTACATTAAAAACACTGCTTCTCTACTGGCATGCTAATGAATACTTTTGGCACGAAGACACGCAGTGCAGAAATGCAGGATGTTCGCAATTATACATTGTGCATTTGTTCGTTGTTCATTTGCTATAATTGCTCCGCAACACAATAGTGGAATGAGACTCGCCGTTCCTCGGATGTCAGCGTTGCATTAT